ATGTGGTAAAAACCTTTTTCACGATATTGTTGCTGAGGCAATATATTGTTTGTGTGAAAGGTCGAGAATGCTTTCTCTAGCAAGTCATTCTCAGTAACTTCCTCATCACGGAATCTCAGTATTGACACTATTTTAAATAGTGCTGAGTTATACTCATTCATGGATTTGAATTCCTGGAATCTGAGATTCTTTCGATCGAATCGGGCTTTTGGGTAATAGCACCGTCCTGAGGTCCAGAGGATTCTTAATAGTGAGGTACTGATTTTGAGACTCTCATTGAGGTGATGGCGTATGTTAGTAATCGCCTTATATCTTTCTCTTCTGGTGACATTGTTTTCTTCCACAATAGATTCACCAAGCCCCTTTTTCCTTTAGGATAATCTCAGTGTCCAAAGCCCATTGTAAATAATTGTCACGAGAGGCATTGAGTGCCGTATATTCATAATAGTTGATTTTTGACATCTATAAAATATAGAGTTAAATGAGAACTCATGTAATCGGTTAGACCAAGTCATGCGGTATTTAAGACCGAACCATGCTTGTCTTCAGCAAGTGTTTTCTACACAATCATGTTATATATATATGGATGAAATCAACCCTAGAAGATTGATCTAGTATGCAACAAAAAATAACCAAACAATCGGATCATACTAGATTAGGATATTATGATTTCGCGGTTAAGTTTTAGGGTTTTAGCATCCGCGATTTATAGTACTAGGGTTTTTTCTAGGGTTTCGGTTTTATGTATGGAACTTTCTATTTATGGAATCTTTCCTTATATGGAACTTTCCATTTATGGAAACTTTCTATTTCTCATCTAGAAAGAAATCCTAAACAAACGTGTACTTTAGGGTTTTGGAATATTTCCTTATGAAGGGGTTTCCTATTTTGGTTACTTTCCATTTTGGGAAACTTGCTACTTTAGGGAACCTTTTATTTTGGGAAACTTGCTATTTTACGAAACTTTCTATTTCTGGAAACTTTCCTTATATGGAAACTTTCTATTTATGGTGATTTTATATTTATGAAAACTTTCTATTTCTGGAAACTTTCCTTATATGGGAAACTTGATCTTAAACCGTGACTTAGGGTTTATTAAACCGGTTTAACCTAGGATTTAGGGTTTTGGTTTACTTTCGGTTTAACCTAGAGTTTATATTAAAACATTCAATCTATCATGCCATGCATTAAACATCTTTCCATTCACTAACTTCTCAATTAATTCTCCAATCATAAATCAAATCACATGTGCCAATTTTCATGCAAATTTTATCTTATCAAACTTTAATTGGATCATGTATATAAAGCATAATAAATAAATAGCACTTATCTTAATTGGAGAAGATAACAGAGACCCGAGATCTGATACGGAGATTGGAAACAGTTATGTCTCTTAGCTGGTTGGGACCTCCTACAAAATCTCAATATATATAATCCTGATTCCTGAGAAACTCAAAATTTTGCTCATGGAAACATGGCTATTACATTAGTAAAATGAAAAAAAATAGGGTTTCTGTAATATACTGCATAAAACAGTTCAGAATCAATAGCATATAATCCGTGCATAAATCGTACAAAAATATAGACAGGATTGATAATAAATAATCTGTGCAAAATTTGTGCAAATCTGCAGACAGAATTGACAACAGATAATCTGTGCAAAATTCGTGCAGAAATACAGACAAAATTGATAACATATAATCCGTGCAAAATTCGTGCAAAACTACAGACAGAATAGATAACAGATCATCTGTGCAAAGTTCGTGCAGAAATACAGACAGGATTGATAACAGATAATCCGTGCAAAATTCGTGCAGAAACAAATATGAACAGAAAACTTATCTCGATAGAGTTTAGAATTTTGTTTGCAGAGACGGCTAGAGTTTTGGTTTTGGTTTTTGTGAGAGAGATTTAGGGTTTCGGAATTTTTAATTTTTAGGGTGAAAGACTATCGTGCTGATAACGTGTTGTGAACTGTGTCTTTCATTAATAGTATAAGGGATATATATATACAAGGATAATAGCAGGATACAGAGAATAAGGTAAAACCCTAATGGGCCATGGGCCGGTTATGGAGTCCATCCATATGGTTTATAACAATGACAAGATTTTAAAATGTCAACGATCTACAAACACGTTAACTTTCGAACTCTTTTGAAATCAATTAGGTTAATCTCTAATTTGGGCCAGACTTCAATAGAGGGACACAGCCCATCCAACATTAGAAATCATCCGAATGATGTAGCAATCCTTAAAGGGCCACTCCGACGAGATTTATTAAAACCACATAAAACAGAACATACTAGTTAGAAGGTTTAATCTCTATGCGCATGCCAGTTTTTACTATCTTTTTAACAATTTTTGGTGATATTTACCGATCATCGAAAACCGTCATTAATTATTTCAATATCGATAACAACGATTTTTTGGTAGAGATGAAAAAATCATCGTATCGTACATGTCATCATCTAGTAATTTATGCTATTTAGAAATTATAATTTTTAAACTCACAATTTTTACTAATTAGTTTCAAAATTTTAGTAGCTAAAACTTTTACTTCAAAAGTCTTTACAGTTAAAGTCTCACAAAAGATCTTAAGATCAAAATTTTTACAACATAAAATATACGGTTATGTTTGGTATACCATTTTAAAATGGTACGGATTGATTTTGGTGATGCCTATATCACATCAACTAGAAAACGGGATGGACTTAGAATTTAGATGGGTCTGTGGATAGTTCCAACAGATGTATGAGAAAGGGCCCGTTACTACACCACGTTGGCACGTTGTTTCAGTGAGAACACAACAAACCAGGACTATTTTTGATCAAAAAAATTATGATATATGGAATCCTGGTTTGAGAGCTAATTTGCACTCAAAACTATTACCTCTTAATATTAAGATTTAAGAGCTAATTTGAACTTACACTATTAACAGCGATCAAAATATTTTATATGTCTTGGTCAGTTATCTTCTCCAATGCCTAAATTTTTATTTTGATCAAAATATACACACACGTATGACATATGTAATCTATTGCTTGGAAATGAATCTTAGAAATTGAATCACAAGAAAATTTGGTTGAGTTGGTAGATTCTTTTTAGGTTTCATGTGAGTTTTAACCACTTTTAACATTGTTAGAGACAGAATATATACTCTTTAACTTGGATTAAAAAACAAGTCATGTTCCTTTAATTTTCTGTTCTTTTCTTTAACCATCACTCATTTATACATTTACTTGAAAATGAAATAGGAATTATAAATTAAAATATTGCAGTCCACTAGGGAAAGAAGAGTATGGTGTGATATGAAATTTAAAGTCAAAGCAAAGGTTGCTTATAAACGTGGCGAGGCTTATTGGCTATTTATTTATTGAAACAAGAGAACATATTTTTACAAATCTCTTTTAATTAACCAAAGCTTACACTTTAGTAAAAAAAAAAAAAAAATTCTTTTTTATCTTTGATTTCGATGGTAGAGACTAGAGACGAGAAATAGAAACATATACTAAATTCCAAAACAATATGCAGTCAAGTATAAAACTTTCTGGAAGTATATTAGTCAAATTCATGGCATTTCGTTTTTTTTTTTTTTTTTTTCCTCACATGGCATTTCGTTTAGACTTTTATTATGGACTTCGTTTGTTATATAGGATGCATCACAATATTAATGTTAGTTTTGAAATTGACTCAAAATCATTTACATGCAATATCAGAAGTAACAAGCAACACGTCTTTGGAGTAATTTAGAATTTTGTGCAATAAAAGCAAGTTTCCTTGACTCAGCCGGTTTTGTTCTAACGGCAATAGTAACTTTAGTTAATGATCGAGAGAAGGACAAAGTCAATCTTGATTTTGATAGTATCCTAATCTAACCAGAGTAATTACAAGATTAACTGTATATGGCATGACCGATATTTTGGCAGTAATTGATTTGGCAACTTCTTACCATAAAGAAAGAGATTTGCTATAAAAAAAAATGATCAATTTTCTGATAGATTAACTATAATAAGTTGATAAATATCAGTGTTGCGTGATTATTTGGTATTTTAAGATTTGTAAATCTTAATATTATTAAATGTGGATTGTTCTTAAAGCTTTACTATGAGACTAGGAATATATAACATTAAATTTTCGTCTAATGTCAGAAAATAATGGTTAGGTGAGATATAACAATCATGAACTAAAATAAAACAGTTTAATTTATGTCAATTATACTGTTCACATTGGTAATATGTTTGATTGATAACATTCTACCGTAATGGTAAGAATATATATATATATATATATATATATATATATATATATATATATATATATATTATTAATTAATAAAAGTAGAAGAATCGTATAAAAAAGAAAGATACCACTAATTATATTTTGTATAATTTTTGTAAGAAAATGAAATCATTATTTTTTGTATAATTTCATCGTCCACGTCCTAAAAAAACAGATCATTTTCATAAAATAAAAAATAACTCATAATATAATTCTCGAAAATAACAGATATTGTATCATTATTTCTCACATTTTCGTTATGTCTCACTTTTTCTTAACCATTTTATCATCGGATACTGTTTTTTTTTTTTCCGTTATCTCACACCTCTTAGTTCTTATAACTATTATGTTATTTTGTACCCCTTTTTTTTTCTTTTTTTTTTATCATCAATCAAAATTCAAAACCAATAAATACAGAAGCTAAAAACAAAAGTACAAAAGGAAATATTGCGTATAAAATATTGTATATGTGTTCGTATACAAAAGTACATGCATAACATGATCAATTATAGAATGCAATAAAAATACAAATGTCAACAATCTACAAACACGTTATGAAAAGCAAATCTACAAACACGTTATGAAAAGCAAATCTAAAATACATGAATCTATAATCTCTGACAGCTTTATTATTACCATCACTTAAAGATTGAACAAAAAATATAAATTTTTTATATATATACATATTTTCTAATTTGATCATTAATCAAATTAAATCATCCACATTTAATTTTGATTACAAGTAAAAAGAGATCGTCTCTTCTTCTTTCCCGGAAAATCCTCATTTTTGACTTGCTCAATTTTGCTTCCTTAGACCCAAAAATCCAACCCTAACCCTAATCGACATTTTCTCCGATTTCTTAATTCTCCGGTGAAAATGTCTCACCTTGATGATCTTCCTTCTACTCCCGGAAAGTACAAAACCGATAAAGTTCCTCCGTACGGGATTCTCCACCACCACCGTTACCTCCGTCTCTCGAAACTCACACTTTGGGCTTCTCTCTTCCTCGCTCTGTTCCTCTTCTACCTCGTTTTATCTCCTCCTCCGTCACCATCTCGCCGGAATCTCAACGATTCTTCCTCAATTTCCGCCGCTAAATACGGTGGCTCTCACTGGGAGAAACAAGTTCGTAAATCCGCTCGTCCTAGGTCTCGCGGCGGTTTAACGGTATTAGTCACCGGAGCTTCCGGATTCGTCGGTACTCACGTCTCGATCGCGTTACGAAGACGCGGCGATGGTGTTCTAGGTCTTGACAATTTCAATCGGTACTACGATCCAAAGCTTAAACGAGCAAGACAAGGTCTTTTAGAACGATCAGGTGTTTTCGTTGTTGAAGGCGATATTAACGACGCCGTTTTGCTTAGAAAGCTCTTTGATGTTGTCCTCTTCACACATGTTATGCATCTAGCTGCTCAAGCTGGTGTGCGTTACGCAATGCAAAACCCAGGATCGTATGTGAACAGTAACATTGCTGGGTTTGTGAATTTATTAGAAGTGTCGAAATCAGCGAATCCGCAGCCTGCGATTGTGTGGGCTTCGTCTAGCTCTGTTTATGGTCTCAATTCGAAAGTACCCTTTTCGGAGAAAGATCGAACGGATCAACCGGCGAGTTTATACGCGGCGACGAAGAAAGCTGGTGAAGGAATTGCACATACTTATAACCATATCTATGGTTTATCGCTTACGGGTTTGCGGTTTTTCACTGTTTATGGACCTTGGGGTAGACCTGACATGGCGTATTTCTTCTTTACTAAAGATATTCTTAAAGGGAAGACGATTACGGTTTTTGAATCTCCTGATAAAGGTAGTGTTGCTAGGGATTTCACTTACATTGATGATATTGTAAAAGGTTGTTTAGGTGCGTTAGATACTGCTGAGAAGAGTACTGGTAGTGGTGGTAAGAAGAAAGGTCCTGCTATGTTTAGGATTTATAATTTGGGGAATACTTCGCCTGTTCCGGTAACTAAGCTTGTGACTATATTAGAAAAGCTTTTGAAGATGAAAGCTAAGAAAAAGATCATGCCTTTACCGAGGAATGGGGATGTTGAGTTTACTCACGCGAATATCACGTTAGCGCAAGCAGAGCTCGGTTATAAACCTGCGGTTGATCTTGAGACGGGTTTGAAAAAGTTTGTGAAATGGTATATGGGTTTTTACACAGGGTCGAAGAAGAAGAGTTCTTGGTGATCTCTATGTCTCTCTGTTTCTCTCTGCTCTAGTCATGGTCTCTGTTCTCGCCTCTGGAGCTCGGAGCTTAAGGCCTTAAACCCGAGCACTTGCATCGCGAGGAAAATGGCTACACTGTTAATGGACAAACACTTGGTTATTTTAACATAAGGCTATTTACGTATCTGCATTGTTTCTGTGTTGCTAGATTTTGCTTCATTTATTTGTTAGTAGATTTGAGCAATGTACAGCTTCATCACTTATGTGTTTCAATTGTGGACTCTCAATTGTCTTTTCCATCATGTCGGAGGAATAAAGTAGCTTGGATTTTGATGCATATACTCTGTAGTAATTCAATCTATTTGGTCACCTTTCTTGTGAATCCAACATATCCTGACCAAATTTTACATAGGTCTATACACTTGAATAACCTTGATGGTTTGGAAGAACAAAATCAAAACACTGAATAATCTCAGAGAACAAGAAACAATGAATGTTCTCTAGCCTGAAGTTTATGTAATATGCCAATAGATTCACAAGATTGTTCTCTAGCCTAGACCATGTTAATTTCCTAGAAAGTTCTCATCTTCCTCTGGGCAATCAATTTCGACAATGCTATGATGTTATCGACAAGGTCTTGAAGATCCAACACTATCTTCATTATCTATCTTCCACCAATCACCACCATCTCCAATCTCCACCGATTCCACCTCTCTTCCATTCGCAATCTCATCATCATCGTCATCACAATCAAACTCGTAATCCCAAACACCGCAAGAACCTCCTCTCTCTTTCTCTAAAGCAGGATCATAACTCCACTCCAACTTCTTCAACACATCTCTATCATTCCACTTCCCCACAACTTTCTCAACTTCCTTCTTCGCCTTCCCCATCACAACTTCCTTCCACGAATACGCAACATCAGCTACTCTCTTCAACGCACCTTCATTCGAATCTCCAATCACAACCGTCCTCAAACACCTCTCCTTCGCTTCCCACAAAATCCCCGCATAATCGGAATCATCAGACACTAAAACAACACATTCCACTTCTCTCTTATCCATCATGTCCACCAAATGTTCCTTCAACGCCTTATCAGCAGCTTCTGGCTTATCACTCACCATTTTCACCCAAAAACCAGCTCGTTTCAGCTCATCCGCTAACCCGTAACCTTCTTTCGGCGTCAAAATGTTCCTCGCAGCTCTTTTATACTTCTCAATCTTCATAGAGTACTTAGCCACAAGCCTCACTCTTTGATGTCCTTTAGAAGATTCAATCTGTCTCATACGTTTCTGATTCTCAGTCTCATGAATCTGCTTAAAATGATTGATTAGCTTCTCGTTAGTGTAGAATCTCCGGTCACAAACGCCGCAGAAGTAAGGCTCCGGCGGTTTAACTAAACCTTTGTTCTCTAATTGGTTTAACAATTTTCTATCTTTCCTCTGTTCTCTTACTTCTAAAGGAACGTAGCTAAAGGCGTGACGATTCGCATACGCCATCATTAGCTTCACGGATCCGAAAGACGACGCGGCGGTTCGGAGCTTGACGGCGGCGTCGTAAGGCGGGAAAGAGGCTGGTGGTTTGTTGTCTAGATCCCACCAAACCCCCACTCGGATTTTGGGTTTAGGGTTTATCGAGCTAAAGCTAAAACCTTTGATTGAATTGAGAGATGTGAATTGAGTTTTTGGTTTCCAAATTCTCAAGACGAATCTTGAAAACATCGTCGGAATCTTCAAAATCGACGGAGAAGATGGAGGCTTCAATAAAACCCGGGTTACATTACATACCCGACCCGGATCCGATTAGAGTTCGGCGATTCTCATGTAAAGTTTCAGAATCTGGAGCTAAGGGCATGATTATAGGGAGTATGTTAGCAAAATCTTAGTAAAATCTTAGGAATAAATTGATTACATTTAATTAATTTTCTGCTTTATCAGTAACAAACGTTCCTTAGCTAAGGAACGAAAGTTGGGTTAAGAGACAGCCACGTGGCGTCTTGTGAATGGGCAAGCTGAGAAATATTTAAATAAAAAAACCACACGCGTTTTTATTTTTTCCGTTTTCTCTCTCTCTCTCTCTCTCTCTCGCGAAAACGGAGAAATCGGAGAAATCCCGATGATTTCCGGAAATCGTTTGATATCGGAGATTCCTCCACTCCGGCCGTCGTTCTTCCGTCGGCCCATCATCTCTACCGACTCCGGTGGCGACGGCGTGTTCGGTTGATGTATTCGGCGAGGTGGGGTTTAGAAATCGGAGAGAAGTTCACATGATCTCCGATTTTCGATTCGAAATCGGAATCTCTGCTTCAGGTCTATATTATTCAAGGTATGCATGTCTCATTTGGTGTCTGAATTGATGTATTTTGCGTATTAACAAATTAGGGTTCTTCGGATTAACAAATTAGGGTTTTGGGATTTGGGGATAATCGGTTTTTCGTTGTTAAGTCTATTGTTTGCCTTATTAGAAGCATGTTTGAGTGTGTGTGTGATGTATTAAAAGAGTTTTCAAATTAGGGTTCTTCAGATTTTTGAAATTAGGGTTTCGGGATTTGGGGAAAATATGTTTTTCGTTGTTAACACTAATATTTGGCTAATTGGAAGCATGATTGAGTCAGTGTTGTTGTTGTTTAAGTAATTTATGAGTAGTGTTCTTTGGATTTGTTAAATAAGGGTTTCTGGATTTTGAGAAATAGTGTTATTTGTTGTTAAGTGTATGAATCAGATGCTGTCTAATTAGAAGCATGATTAATCTATATTCTGTAATGTTTAAGTCATTGTCAATTGGAAGCATGTTCTCAGACTATAAAAGTTGATTGTATATGCTTAATATTGTAGGTTCTTCAACATGAATGTCAGTTTAAAGAAGCAGTGGAGTTCATGGAAGCACTTGGTTTAAAGAAGCAGTGCAGTTGTGTCATGTTCTTCAACATGAATGTCAGGTAATACTCTGTTTTTGATGTGTGGATGATTGTTTGGATTAAGACTTTGTTGGATCATTTGTGATGATGATTAATATTCCGGAAACTGTTAAGATAATTGAGCTTTTGTTAGCTGCTGCATATTGATTAGTCTTCATTAAGATTAGGTGAGACTTGAGTGTTGTTGGTTGTGTCAGTTTGTGATAAATGCTTTTAGAGTGTCTTTAATTGTTTGCTATTTGTCTACCTGAAATTGAATTAGAATGTCTACATCAGATAAATGCTTTGTGTAGTGATTATACTTCATAGAAGCTATCTTGAATTTGATTTAGAACATTGATTATTTTTGTAGTTAATATTAGGTGAGACTTGAGTGTTTTGGTTGTGTCAATTTAGTGATAAATGCATCTTAAAAGAGTTTTTAATTGTTTGCTTTCTGTCAGTTTTGATGTTGAATTAGATTGTCTACATCAGTTTTTAATTGATCAATGCTTGTTTGGTTTCCATTAGGGTTTAGAAGTAAGTGTATCATTGATTGTTACCCACAACTGTAAACAAACACTAACACATAAAGTCTCTCTTTCTCTCCCATTCTCTTTCATTCTCTCGGATTCTTCTTTTATTCTCCCATTCTCTTTCATTCTCTTTCATTCTCTCATCTTTCATTTTCTTTAATTCCCTTTGTAAACTCTCTGAAACTCTTGGAGATGAATCCATATACTAACTCTGCTGGCTTCATGGAGATGTTAACAAGTCAACAAGAAAGAGGAAGCCTAAACCCCAATGCTTGTGAGTCAGCATCACCAAGTATCCGACTTGGTGAATCTGATCTCCCTGCCTACAGCACCCAATGGACAGAAGCGACAGAAGCTACAACTCAAGGTGGAAGCGCCAAAGCTAAATCCACACCAAGAAAGAGGAACAAGTGGACAAGTCAAGAAGATTTAGTCTTAATATCAGCGTGGCTTAATACAAGTAAAGATGCCATTGTTGGCAATGAGCAAAGAGGAGTAGCATTCTGGAAGAGGATTGCAGCATATTATGCAGCAAGTCCCAATATATCTGGTGAGAAAAAGAGAGAGCCAACCCACTTTAAACAAAGGTGGGCAAAGATAAATGAGCAAGTTTGTAAGTTTGTGGGTTCTTTCCAAGCTGCAGCAGGACAGGTGTCAAGTGGTATGAATGATGACGATCTCATTAAGCTTGCGCATCAGATATTTGAGGCTGACTACGACAATAAGTTCAACTTGGAGCATGCATGGAGAGCGTTGAGGAATGAGCAGAAGTGGTGTCAAGAGCAGTCCACTAAATCCACTGACAAGAATAAAAGAAGAAAGGTAGATTCTGAAGCTTCCCAAGCCCATAATGAGTCTCAAGCATCTCAATCTCGTCCTGCTGGTGTTAAGGCAACCAAGGCAAAACTCAAAAAGCCTGCCACAACTGCGCCACTTGTAGAAGAAGAAGGGCAGGTTGTAGAAAGGATTCAGGCTTTATGGGAGATAAGGCAAAAAGAGTTTGCTTTGAAGCAGCAAGAACATGCCTTTAGAAAGGAACTTACCAACTCGAAGTTGCTTGATTCTCTTTTATCTAAATCAGATCCTCTATCTGAAATTGAGGAAGAACTAAAGAACAAGTTAATTAGGGATATTTTGCTTTGAATGTCTCTCATGTATTTCTGTCTTTATATTTATGTCTATGCTTTTAATTTCTTGCTTGGATTTCTGTCTTTATGTTTATGTTTCAATTTGAAATTGTGGTTGTATTTCTGGTTTATGTTTGCTAAATGAAGTTTATGTTTCAATTTGTTTTATGTCTTTATGTTTCAATTTGGCTTTGTATCTTTTTGTTTATGTTTCGATTTCTTTCATGTCTTTTAACTTCTGGTTTTTGCAATAACTTGGTATGAATTATGTGCAGGTTCACGTGAAAGGAGAAGAAGAGGACAAGTCTGAATCTGTACTTGGACACCACAAGACTTCTTTGTAACCACAAGTTTCCAGCAAGCTTTTGGACCACTTGATACTCTCTCTTTGGTCACGGACCAAGCGTATTTGTTCACTTCTTTGTAACCACAAGTAATAAATTGATTTGTACCACAAGTCACAAATGCTTTGTAACCATGTATTATTTGAGAACTTTGACTATAAATATCACAAGTTTCATGTTGCTATGAATTATCTCTTCTCCTCAGTCTACTTTTTCTTACAAACTCACAACAAAAGAAATCCAAATCGTTGAACCACAACCAATTACTTATCTAAAACCAATTCTAAACCATAATTTATTCCATAAGCAAATACCATCTTCTATTTCTTTTCACTTCAATATCTTGTTCTAAACCCAAATCTTTTTATTCCTAAAAATTATACATACAAAATGGCTTCATCTTCCAATTACAATTTCGAAGAAGCGTTGGACGA